TGGTCGGCCCAAGTGGGGCCATTGGGGCAAGCTGACCAGGGGTAAGGGCCATGGGAAGTTAGCTGTGGCAGCACACTGACCATCCTGCATTAAGCTTCTGCCCCCTGATGGTCAGTGCGTGTCATAGTGACCGGTTGACCTGTTGTTCAGTCACTTAGGCTTTTATACATATATATAGACTAGAGGCCCATCCATGCACCAGTGGGGTTCCTTGGCCTGGCCTGCGGGGATCAGTGGACCTCCTTGCCGCCGCCGCAGCCCAGCTTTACCTGCCAGCATATTGGGCTCCAGCCCACTGTCAGTGTTGATCCCGCACAACAGGAAGTAGTGCGTGAAGTGGCAGGCAGCTGAGGAGGAGCCTGAGCCCTGGGTGGGTGCGGCTCCCACTTACCCTGGCCCCGCTGCCACCAGTGCTCAGGCGTGCAGGGGAGTGTCCACAGGAAAGGCTTGTGCCACGGCAGCTGTGTTCCCAGCCTTCAGCCTGGCATCTGGCGCCCATTTGTCAGATGAGAGGCATTGACCACCTGCACTGATGGTGGATGCTCCTTACTGCCTTTCTAAAATTTGAAAACTTTAGCATTTTGACAACATTTGGCTTCAAAAGTTTTGGACAATGATTGCGGACCTTAAATGACTAAATGACTAAATTACAGTTAACACTCAGCAAATATTTGCTGAAAGCATTCATTTATATATATTTGAAAAACCAAAAAATACTCCTAGTCAAATATGTGTGTATATGTGTATACACACACAGGGAGACACTTATATATTCATGCACATACACATAGATATCTCTGCATTAGTAATTAGCAGTGTGACAATTAGCTTCCTTGTTTAGGACACTGCATACAACAGGCAAGGCTTATAACTTCAAATTCTATAAAGACAAGGTAAGTTTGCAAAGAAAAACTTCTTTTCTCCAAGACCATAAACTAACCTCACAGTTCAATCTTCAAATGCTCCTGGTTATAAAGCAAGAAATAATAGATAATCTAGGATAAGCCTATTCACCATCCTACCTAATAAAAAAGTAATATGCAAATTAACCATCACTCCACTCCACAAAACATGCCTGCAAGCCAATCAGAGTGAGTATGCAAATAAACCCAAGCAAAATGGCAACAGCCACAGAGAGCAGGAGGGAGGCGTTTCCCGGGCAACGGAGGAAGCCAAACTTTCCGCCTGCCCTTGTCGGCCTAAGCCTCTACTCAAGGCTACAAAGTTTCAATTATAGAAGGTAACAAATCCAAACAGAAACAGCTGCTGCCACTGAATGAGCAGGAGGCTTGGCTCCACTCCAAGCTACAAAGTTTCAATTGTAGAAAGTAAATATATCCCAGATACTAGGGCCTCTGCTTGGGTCACTGGGGGGCATGGCCTGCCTGCAAACCACCACAGGCCTCTCACTCAGGCTGCCCCACGCCTCAAGGGAACCTCAACCCTGATCCGGGACATCATTCAGGGCAAACCAACTGGTCCCCGCCCGTGCACCAGGCCTCTATCCTATCTAATAAAAGAGTAATATGCAGACTGACCATTACTCCAACATACAATATGGCTGCCCCCAGGGAGTCAAAGATTCTGCTCCTATGTGGACACAAAATGGCCAGTAGGGGAGAACAATTGGGAGGGACCAGGCCTGCAAGGAGGGCAGTTGAGAGGGATCAGGCTTGCAAGGGAGGGCAGATGAAGGCGATCAACCCTGCAGGAAAGGGCAGTTAGGGGTGACCAGGCCGGCAGAGGAAGGAAGTTGGGGGCAAACGGGCTGGCATGGGAGCAGTTAGACATCAATCAGGCTGGCATGGGAATGGTTAGGGGGTTGGGAGCAAGCAGTTGGGAGCCAGCCAGCAATCCTGGATTATGAGAGGGATGTCTGACTGTCCGTTTAGGGATCGGGCCTAAATGGGCAGTCGGACATCCCTCAAGGGGTCCCAGATTGGAGAGGGTGCAGGCTGGGCTGAGGGACAACCCCCTCCTATATCCCCATGCACAAATTTCGTGCACCGGGCCTCTAGTATCAGAATAAGTACTAATTCCAATATTAGTAGCATAACTAGTTTGTCTATTTGTCTCTCTTTCTCCATCAGTCTCTCTCTCATACATACACACAATCCCACAATGTATAATAGCATTACAAGCACCTGACTGGTTCTGACAGGTTTACATCACTGGTTGCCTATCCTAAATGATATCTTGGGGTTTAACTCTTTCTGCCTATAAACTCCTATTTTTGTCCTGGACACGCTTAACCTGCTTAACCAACTAGCTTGCTTACTGTCATATGGACTAGCCCAGGAAAATACTAGTAGCAGATTGTTAGGAAGAAAGTAAATAGGAACACACTGGGAGCAGATGTATTCAAATCAACATTTTTATTGCCTACTTTGTAAGATGGGGCTTGGGAATAGCCAATTTCCAGAAACCATAAAAAGACCCATGAGTTCGCACCATGCAGGAAAACATGCATCGGGCATGATGCTGAAAATCCTGGAAACATTTTTAACTTCTTCAAAATCCTTTATGCCTGCCATGGCACTGCCAAGATTCACTAACTGCCATTTAATATTAATGGCCTTTCATTACACTGATAAACAATCTTCCCTCCTTTATATCCTAAGGAAACACACCTCTTTCTCATGAAAATAAAATAACATATATTATTTAATAAGTTGAAAGTAAATCTTGAAAAGCTTTTTTTAATTGTTCTCTAATAAAACTCTAAGAAATGTGATGCAGAAGTTATCCTCAGCGCACTGTTTAACATGATTCCAATGCTAAGGTCGGAAGAAGAAACACTTTGCCAAAATCTCTAACTATTTCACCACCAAAGCGATTTACCCATGGGTTCTGCCACTGGGTTGTGAAGTCCTAGGACCATTCAGAAAGGAGCCGCTATGTTTCTCTTCTCAGGCTCCCAGGTGTCATAAGCAGGGAGAGGGACAGGGCTGAAAGCCATGCTAAGTCTCTTGCCCAGACTGTGGATGAGATCATCATTAGCCCCACCCCAGCATCCAGCCCAGCTTCTTCAGAATGTCACAGGCCACAGCCCTTCACCCAGCCTCCAGTCAAATTCTCAAAACAGGAAAAACTAAAAGTGAATCCTCCCCACAAAAAAAGCTTGGGAATTCTTACATTATATAATTATTTTAAACATGTTCCTCTTATGTAGGGTAATTACAGGTAGGATATCAAAAAAACCCTCTTATTTCCAAGAAGCCTATTCCAAATTAGTTTAAATGTCCTCTCAGATCCTTAAACAACTTTCAAAAAAAAAAAAAAAAAAAGGTTCTCTGGCAAGGATTAAAGACATGCATTGAATAATTAACTCATTCTTAATGGAAAAGATATATTAAAATATTGTGTGTCCTGGTTGGGTAACTCAGCTGGTTAGAGTGTTGTCCGTGTTGTCCTGATTCGCTAAGGTTGTGAGTTTGATCCCTGGTCATTACACATACAAGAATCAACCAACGAATGCATAAATAAGTGGAACAACTAATCTCTCTCTACTAGTAAAAATCAATCAATAAAAATTAAAATTAAAATGTTATGCACTCTTCATGCATCACCAGAAAACAAGTATTTATAACTTTTCATCCATGACAAGTATTTTAGTTCAATTCTTTGGGTATTCTATTCTATTTTATTTATAACAAAGTTCTATTGTATTCTATTTATAACAATACTTCAAAGCTATAATTACATCCTCTATAATCAGCCCATTGCCGTGTAATTAAGAGTGCCACAAATTTAAAACTGTGGCCTTATTACTGAGGAAAACAGTGTTTTGACGAGATAATTTATTTCATGTAAAATGCCCTCCTGTTATGCCAACACATTTAAAATGTAAAAAAAAAAAAAAATACTACACTAGAATCATTTTTAAGAGAGGATCATTATGTTTCTGATAATAGAGTTTCCCCCCTATCATTTCTAGTATCCAAATCTCATCAATAAGCTCTTTCCTATTAAACCCTGTGCTCTTGCCACATGTTATAAAAATTCTAAACCCCTTCAGATGCCTCTTATTTTCCCCTCATTCAACTATCATCCACTATGAGGACAAAGATTTATGTGAAGTGATTTCTGGCAGTGTCGTGCTAGTGTAAACAGAGTTTTAATTGGCAGAGAGACCTATTAGTGAATAAAATTATATCTTAACTACAAATCAGGAAGTTGAGCACCAGACATTAATGTACATGTATTGTAATGGTTCAAGCAAACCATTTGATAAATATAACCATAACCACATTAATAAAAAACAACAGTAATAATGAACACTTATCAAATGCTTATTATGTGTCAGCACTATGACAATCTTAAGACAAATTACCTCATTTAATTTTCAAATGATCGCTGAGATAATACAATGTTTGCCTCCAGTTTTCATATATGGTAACTGAAGCTCAGAGATGTTAAATTACTATCCAGATCAATCAGCTATGAGAGGAGGGCCAGTCTTGAAGCAAGGTCAAACTGAATTATAAACTTGTGCCTGTTTTTATTGCCTTCAGGTGAGACTAAGAGGAAGCTGAGAAGTAGTTTATGAGGGACTAGAGGTCCGATGCACGGAATTTGTGCAAGAGAAGACCTTCCTTCCCTCCGCTGCTGGCACGGCTTCCCTCTGGCACCCAGGAACCGGGCTTCACTCAAAGCCCTGGCTTCGTTGGGAAGGTTGTTCATTCTAATTAGCATATTATGCTTTTATTATTATAGACTGTAAACTACACATGCAATTTAACCTAAATATTCTTGCTCTTACACTTCCAATAATGCTCCTGGTGAACTGAAACTGTTATCAGTCAATGAAGGGGTAGGGACAGAGAAAGCAAAAAAGCAAGATGACTATCAAGATTCTCCACCCCCATCAAATTCAGGAATTCCTTTCTGTATTCTGTAAGAGATAATACATCTTTCTAAATTCCATAAATGTTTAATCAGACCTCATAAGGTTACTAACGCACAAATCACAAAATCCAATGCACTTTTGTGTTTTTCAGATTAAAGAAGCTGATTGGCCAAGAAACGGAATCCCAGGAGAGAAAGGAGCAAGAAAAGGAGAAGAGGGTCACCGCGCTGAAGGAGGAGTTGACCAAACTGAAGTCTTTTGCTTTGATGGTGGTAGATGAACAACGAACGCTGACAGCACAGCTTGGGCTTCAAAGACAAAAAATCCGAGACCTAACCGCAAGAACGAAGGAAACACATGCTAAACTAGCCCTTGCTGAAGCCAGAGTTCAGGAAGAAGAGCAGAAGGCAACCAGACTAGAGAAAGAACTGCAAACGCAGACCACAAAGTTTCACCAGAACCAAGAAACAATTATGGCGAAGCTCACCAATGAGGACAGCCAAAATCGCCAGCTTCGCCAAAAGCTGGCAGCACTCAGCCGGCAAATTGATGAGTTAGAAGAAACAAACAGATCTTTACGAAAAGCAGAAGAGGAGCTCCAAGATATAAAAGAAAAAATCAACAAGGGAGAATATGGAAACTCTGGTATCTTGGCTGAAGTAGAGGAGCTCAGGAAACGAGTGCTAGAAATGGAAGGGAAGGATGAAGAGCTCATAAAAATGGAGGAGCAGTGCAGAGATCTCAATAAGAGGCTCGAAAAGGAAACATCCCAGAGTAAAGACTTTAAACTGGAGGTTGAAAAACTCAATAAAAAGATTATGGCTCTGGAAAAATTAGAAGATGCTTTCAACAAAAGCAAACAAGAATGTTACTCTCTGAAATGCAACTTAGAAAAAGAAAGGATGACCACAAAGCAGTTGTCTCAAGAACTGGAGAGTTTAAAAGTAAGGATCAAAGAGCTAGAAGCCATTGAAAACCGGCTGGAAATGACAGAATTCACCCTAAAAGAAGATTTAACTAAATTGAAAACATTAACTGTAATGCTAGTAGATGAACGGAAAACAATGAGTGAAAAATTAAAGCAAACTGAAGATAAGTTACAAGCTGCTTCTTCTCAGCTTCAAGTGGAGCAAAATAAAGTGACAACGGTTACTGAGAAGTTAATTGAGGAAACTAAAAGGGCATTGAAGTCAAAAACTGACGTGGAAGAAAAAATGTACAGTATAACCAAGGAGAGAGATGATTTAAAAAACAAATTGAAAGCAGAAGAAGAGAAGGGAAATGATCTCCTGTCCAAAGTTAATTTATTGAAAAATAGGCTTCAATCATTGGAAGCAGTTGAGAAAGATTTCCTAAAAAACAATTTAAATCAAGATTCTAGTAAGGCCACAACAACATTACACCAAGAAAACAATAAGATTAAAGAGCTCTCTCAAGAAGTAGAAAAACTGAGACTGAAGTTAAAGGATATGAAAGCCATTGAGGATGACCTCATGAAAACAGAAGACGAATACGAGACTCTAGAGCGAAGGTATGCTAATGAACGAGACAAAGCTCAATTTTTATCTGAAGAGCTGGAACATGTTAAAATGGAACTTGCCAAGTATCAGTTGGTAGAAAAGACAGAGTCTAGCCACGAACAGTGGCTTTTCAAAAGGCTTCAAGAAGAAGAAGCTAAATCAGGGCACCTCTCAAGAGAAGTGGCGGCACTGAAAGAGAAAATTCATGAATATATGGCAACTGAGGACCTGATATGTCACCTCCAGGGAGACCACTCAGTCTTGCAAAAGAAACTCAATCAACAAGAAAACAGGAACAGAGATTTAGGAAGAGAGATTGAAAACCTAACTAAAGAATTAGAGAGGTACCGGCATTTCAGTAAGAGTCTACGGCCTAGTCTCAATGGAAGAAAAATCTCTGACCCTCAAGTGTTTTCTAAAGAAGTTCAAACAGAAGCAGCAGACAATGAGCCACCTGATTACAAGAGTCTCATTTCTCTGGAACGGGCAGTCATCAATGGTCAGTTTTATGAGGAGAGTGAGGACCAGGAAGAGGATCCGAATGAGGAGGAATCTGTGCTGTCCTTCAAGTGCAACTCATCTACTCCCTGTCCTATTAACAGGAAGCTATGGATTCCTTGGATGAAATCCAAGGAGGGCCATCCTCAGAATGGAAAAAGACAAACTAAATCCAATGGCAACTTTGTACAAACTGGAGATCTAGTCCTAAGCCACACACCTGGGCAGCCACTTCATATAAAGGTTACTCCAGACCATATCCAAAACACAGCCACTCTTGAAATCACAAGTCCAACCACAGAGAGTCCTCACTCTTACACAAGCACTGCAGTGATACCAAACTGTGGCACCCCAAAGCAAAGGATAACCATCCTCCAGAACGCCTCCATAACACCAGTGAAATCTAAAACCTCTGCTGAAGGCCTCATGAATGAGCAAGGCATGTCCCCAATTACCATGGCAGCCTTTGCCAGAGCACAGACCCCAGAGTCTTGTGGTTCCATAACTCCAGAAAGGACAATGTCACCTATTCAGGTTTTGGCTGTGACTGGTTCAGCAAGCTCTCCTGAGCAGGGACGCTCCCCAGAGCCACTAGAAATCAGTGCCAAGCACGCGATTTTCAGAGTCTCTCCAGACAGGCAGTCATCTTGGCAGTTTCAACGTTCAAACAGTAATAGTTCAAGTGTGATAACTACTGAGGATAATAAAATCCACATTCACTTAGGAAGTCCTTACGTGCAAGCTGTAGCCAGCCCCGTGAGACCTGCCAGCCCTTCAACACCACCGCAGGATAACCGAACTCAAGGCATAACTAATGGGGCACTAAACAAAGCAACCAATAAAGTCACCAGCAGTATTACTATCACACCAACAGCCACACCTCTTCCTCGACAATCACAAATTACAGTAAGTAATATATATAACTGACCCTCGTCCAGTCTATACTGATATTATTGCAAGGAACTCCGTCCTCTTTAATGATCCCTCCACGTCCCCCAAAGATTGACTGAACTTGTACTTTGGGAAGGTTTGTGCATGAACTATTCAACAGTACCTGAAACTAACTGTTGCCTGCATAATCATATCAAGTGTGCACTTACTGTATATCTTTCCATTTACATACTTATATGAAAAATATTTAGTCTGCACTTGTATAAATACATCTTTATGTATTTCATTTTCCATAACTCACATTAATTTGATTGCAACTTGTCTTGGTGAAATACCTTAACATTATAAAACAGTAAATAATTTGTTATTTTTTACCATTGCTTGCTGAATTTTCTTTTGGTCATTTTGTGTTATATTTTTGCATGTACAGTAGAATTTTATTTCCTGTTCATAATGTCTATTAATTCTTCCTTAAGAGAAAAATAAAAGAGCAGAGAATTTACTTCCCACTTACAGTCAACTTTTGATCACATATAAAGGCAGAGAAAGTGGTTTAAATAAATAAAATTTCATGATTTCAACGTGAACTATAAGATCTCAAAGGAGCAAACTTAACTTCATGTTGGAGATCTCTCTCAATATCTTTGGTGCCCAGCACAATGCTTCACACATGTAGGAACTTAGGAAGTTAATGTACTGATAATAATTGAATAAAATAATATTAATTTGCTTTTGTGAGCAAATGAGCTGATGGTGAAAGTAAAAAACTTTGAAATGTGATAGGAAGCCAGAAAAAGTACATTTGGAAATACAAGTAGTAAAAGTTACCTTCATAATCAAGAGTTGACTGTATTTCTACAATAGATGAAAATCTCCATAAAACATGTATATCTACACTCAAACCTAGACCTGGCCACTATGACCAGACAAGTACTCCTGAACATGGTTTCAAAACAAAAATGTCATTTTTGTTCCTTTCCCCTATTTGGTTCCTCAAATCATTTGGATTACTTAAGGTAGGTGCTTTCTACCTTGCTTTTAGATGGCTGCCTTTAGAAGCTTACAACGTAACCATGTGTTGTTGTTGTTGTTAACTTTTTAACAAGCAAATGAAAGCCAAGATAGTTACAAATACAAGTTATAGAAAAGGCATGTTTAAAAAAGATCTTAGAGTATGTTGAGAGAAGTTTCCTCTGTAATTATTGTTATGCCATTTATAAGGTAGGTGAGACAGCCTAAAAATTCTGGTATCTGGCTGATGGGATTCTCCGAGCTTAATCCATACTTCTATATCAGAGAACAGCAGCTTTCAGAGGAAGATTTTAAACTACAGATCAGGTTCCCCAGTCACCTTCCAAAAAAATGATTTTAGACAAAGTAGCTCATTGCCATTTTCCCTTTCCAACCTTGTAATTGTTGATTTAGTTTGGTTAATTTTATTGCTAGTTATTGATTTTAAACACAATTCATCTGGACACATTTAGGCAAACTGTAAAGATCTTTAGAAGTAAAAGAAGTATTTCACAATTATCCTCCTTTTCCCTGCAAAATCAATTTCATGATAGCCAAGCGAGGATTTGTTGACAGAAACACTTCCATGGTGATGAACTACAACACCAATGCTGTGGGCTTGCATCATCATTAAATAAATTTGGATGAAAGTTTAGGCTGGTGATGAATGAGAAAGCTTCTGTTTAAACACAAGTATCTTGGGAATCAGCAGTGAGTGACCCAACTGTATTACAAAATACATGATGGCCTAAATGTTTTTCAAAACTATTTTTATTTTTAAGCCATTTTAAGGTAAAACTTTAGAAGTAACTTGCATACTTCATTTTACAAAGTATTTCAAAGTAGACATTGAGAATGCTGCTGCATAAGATGTTTTTTTAGATAAAAATCAAGAGAGAATGCTATTAACATTTTGAAGGGTACTGATCATAAAATTATGAATGGAAACTAGAAAGAATTAAAGGACATGGTCTTTAAAGTGCTTCCCAACCTTTGTCTCATAACGGCACAAGCAGAACACATTTCCATAACACTGGGGGGAAATGGATGAAGAGGCAGAAATGATCAGCCCCAGACTCGTCACCCCAAGGTTCTCCTGGCTGCCCCAAATGCGGAAGAGAAAATTCACTCTTGGCATACCTACAACTAAGACAGTTTGAGGATCTCTACTACTCATTAGTCCATTCATTTTGTAAGGATTCAATTTTTTATATCATGTGAGCCAGAGCAATTCTCTACAATAAAGTTAACACTACATGTCCTAAGCTCCATAATTATAGTGCACAGATTCTCACTTTATTATCTGTTCCAGATATTAACCATAAGCAGACTTCCCAAATGATTAACATTACTGGATTTATTGAACTTTCAAAGAGTCAAACCTCTTGTAGAGATTCCTCTACTGCAGTGGTTCTTAACCTTCCTAATACCGTGAGCCTTTAATACAGTTCCTCATGTTGTGGTGACCCCCAACCATAAAATTATTTTCATTGCTACTTCATAACTGCAATTTTGCTACTGTTAATGAATCGTAATGTAAATATCTGTGTTTTCCAATGGTCTTAAGCTCTACAGCAGCGGTTCTCAACTGTGGGTCTCGAACTGCTAGCAGGGTTGCCCTAAGAGGATCAGAAAACACAGATATTTACATTGCGATTCATAACAGTAGCAAAATTACAGTTATGAAGCAGCAACAAAAATAATTTTATGGTTGGGAGTCACCGCAACATGAGGGACTGTATTAAAGGGTCACGGCATTAGGAAGGTTGAGAACCACTGCTACTGGGAGGATTACTTGGGTATAATAATTCATATTAGCATCAAACTTTAGGAGCACTGTTAAAATTAATAACATACAGAGATGATTAAAAGGATAATAATTAAAATTTATTGTAAACACAGTAGCATTTCTAAGAATCTTCCCATTTCTATAAAATCATACCTAAAATGACATTCTAGAGTTTTAGCCTTGCATTTAAAAAATAATTTTTATACCTGTGTGTGTGTGTGTGTGTGTGTGTGTGTGGTTACAGAGCTTTCTTTTTCATCCACATACTAGTACAATCACAGAAGAACCTTAAAAACTAGGATGCAGAAAGTAACACTAAAAACTATTTGTATGAGTTATGTAAAGATGGAGGGTTATATTCTTGGGGGAAAGAATACCCAGGAGAGATTAAGAAAAGATACACTGCTTTTATATACATCTGAAAAAATACTATCTTCCTTTCATTGGTCAAAACCCCAGGTTCAGAACCAAGTTTCATTTTTCTTGCCTTTCCCCCCAGCTCTTTCACTTTTTAAGCTGTGTCATCACAGATCTGAATGATTTTACCACATTCTTCTTTCCATTTAAGTGCAATGGCAAAACTTTCCCCTCCAGGATGCACTGCTCTTTGGGGGCACTGGTGAAAATAAAATCAGCACCCTTGCTAGAAGGACAATGGACAATGTGTATTTCCCATAGTTGGATATTTACACAGAGAGGAGTCTCTCTATACTTTTTCAAGATGATGATGGGATTCCATAAACTCCACTCAGAAGGTCTCTACAACTACAATTCATAATGCCAAGACATTTTCTGTGAGGTCTTTATGATATCCAAAGGTTAATTTTACCAGTAGCTTGCACTGTGAGAAGGTCGAGAAAGGGATATTTAATTAAAAATTTTTAGACTTATAGCCTAAGGATTCTATCATTTTTACTGAATGAAGAATAATTCCACACAAAAACAAGTATTATAGCTTTGATTCTGAATCTTTACAAAGCCAGTGTCCTTTGAAACTTGTTAAACAAAGATCTTTAAATTAACAACATTCTAGTTCCCCTAAACCTTGCTTTCTATTAAGTGTTTTCCTCCAAAATAATCATTTTGCTTTTGAATCCCAAGAGAAAAGATAATCAGGCAACAATGCCCAAAATATTAAGATGAGCGTTTCTCTAAATAAAATCCAAGAGAATCCTGGATCCCATCCAGTGCTATCAAATCAGAATATTTGAGGGTAGAGGACCAGGAAGCTGAATTTTTAAAAGCTCTTCTGCTGATTATAGTATGTACCCTAAAGTAGGTGCTCTATTGTTTTACAAATTCCTATACTGATAAACATTGGTAAATGTGTTCTGTCCTGTCTCACTCTAGCAGAATGAGTAACACCTGGAAGTGTGACTATTCTGCCCTCTAGTGGCCTTTCCTCGCGTTTTCTTTTAATTCAAAAGAAATACTCAATTAAAAACAACACACACACACAAAAACAAACCAAAAAAATCATTACCATTTTATTGGGTGGGAAGGTTCGCAGTTTTATAACTGTACAAAGCATAGATGCCTGAATCTTTAGCTGAGCAGTAGCACACTGTCTGACACCTCCAAGCTCTCTTTCTTTCTCAGAACCCAGACCTTCAACATAAGCCTACAGCATTTCTTGGGAATGGTCCAGAACACACATTAAAGAGAGCAGTTTGGATGAACCAAAACAAAGGACTCCATTCACCTCAGCCCACAGTGAAGCAAATGAAGAAAGAGCAAGAAAAACAAGTAGTTTATTAGTTTCCAAACCTTAAACTTCTTAAAATTTCATTTTCATTTACATTACACTCTAACTCCTTTCCAATTGATGGACCCTTTTACTCTTGAAGCTCAGTAAAGAAGGATAAAGCTTTTGTGCAGTCAACTATATCAGAGCAGAATCCCCCAAAGGCAACACTGTAGGATAAGGAATCCTTAGAGAGTCCAGCAAATTAACTGGCCAACACTTCTGAGTAACTTATAATTCGATAATGAATTAACACTGTTTTTATGGCAGCACATACAAATCTGTCAACTTTCCATCAGGACACAAGGTTTTAGACTTAAAATGGTGCGATAAAAATGTACTCTGACATCACAATCAGCTATCCTAGCAAAAGGATAATCTTCCTTACTTGTGCCCTCATTTCCAAATATCACTTGTTCTTCACAAAAGTATTGGTCAAGAGAGATCAAATGTAGCTGACTATTTGAGACAATTTTCTGAAAGCCTAAAATTAGTTATAGCCTAAAATTAGTGAGTTATTCTCTCCTCCATCTCATAACCAAATGGTTCTATAAATTTTTGTTTTATTTTTTTCAATTACAGTGTGCATCAATATTATTTTGTTTTAGTTTCAGCAGCATAGTGGTTAGACAGTTATATACTTTACAAAGTGTTTCTCCCGATATTTCCAGTATCCACCTGGCAGCACACATAGTTATTACATTATTTACTATAGTTCCTATGCTATACTTTATATCCCCATAACTTTTGTAACTATCAATCTGTACTTCTGTATATTTTTAAGATTACCTAAGATAACCTTTTTCTTTTTTTTGCCTCAGAGTTTTGTTTTTTAAAGTTCTGTTTTTATGTTTGTATAACTAACAATGTATATAGAGATCCTATAGACCTACAAAGGCTGCCTCACTCCCTGCCATTCCTTAGGCCTCTGAAAAGATGGGTGGGTTTACTAATTGATGTACCATTCATGTATCTCAGTGACATACACAGTGTCTCAGCACACAGTATCTTCTCTTCAAAGCCTCACGTGGATCATGACATACTGATTGCCTACCTCCTACCCAACACTGAGGCAGGTTTTATGGATACAAAAGATTCACTATCCTTGAAGAGCTTTTTAATTTGGGGAAGGAAGAGACAAGAAATAAAAGTATCAGATAATATTTAATCAAGTGGCAAACTAAATTTCCTACAATAATCTAAAGATTAAGGGGACTATAGCAGATTAACAAGGCTTCATAGAGCAATTAATACTTGAAGCTGTAGAAGGAAAGATTTAGATAAGTGGAGTGATTGCAGGGAGAGAACATTTGAAGCAAACAAACAGAAGGTCAGGTTCCAGTTGGTGCCTTTCCATAAAAGATTTATTTTCTTCTCTAAAAGTATTAATTAATGTCCTTTACTCCTCACCAGAGCAAAGTTTCTCAACCTCAGGACTCTAACAGTTTGGGTTCAATGATTCTTTGTTACGGGGGAAATCATGAACATTGCAGGATGTTGAGGAGCATTCTTGGCTTCCACCCACTAGAATCTAGTGACTAGATGCTAAGTCACATTCCTCAACTGTGACATGGTCACATGTTTGGGGCAAATTTTCAGAACTGGATCATCTCCTTAGTTGAGAACCACTGCATTAAAGAGACGAATAAACTGACTCTATGAGCCAGTTACTCCTTTACATTACTTGCTGTGAAAAAAATTTAACAGCTCACTTGAAAATTGTTATGTCTGGTGTGTAGAAATGGGCATCTTGAATCTGACAAAACATAAGCCTCAAAGCAACTTTAAAAATCTGCACTGAAGACTGTAGTTGTATAAAGATTGTTTTCATTCACTTGACAGATCATGTGAATATTTGAATATTTATATTTGTATTAATACCTTGTACCTTTGTCTCTTTCAAAGATACCATATTATAAACTAGAGCTTTTTGGACAAGCTTTCCAATTTTAACATGCCTTTGGGAGTAATATAGAGAAGTCTTGAGAATCAACCATCTTTGTCTTAAAGGAGGGAAAAAATGGATTTGAGGAGGATTGTAAAGAACTTAAGAAATAACTCCCTTTACTATTTTAAACCTCTCTAAAGATTCCTCTCTGAGGATTTTCAGTTCCCTCTGTATTAGTGTAAAACCACCACAGGCACAGATGTCTTCTGTTAAGATACAAGTTTTCTTCATTCCTGAACAAGTCACCTACAAGATTAAACTGACAAATATTTACCAAGTACCTAATGTTACTCATTGCTATGCTGGACAGCTTTGTAGAAGTAAGATTTAGAATCTAAGGTGGGAGTTGAGGATAACTTTAAAAGGTAATTAAGAGCATAACACAGAAAAGGAATTCTATAGCTAGTAAGTACCATAGGAATTTGGAGCAGGTTGCTCTGGGGCAAGATTTGTGAGTTAGATTTCAGAAATAGATAATATTTGAGCAGGGGCTAGGGAATGAAGAAGACTGGGAGAGGACAAAAGGTATTCCTCGGAGATGCCCACAAGAGCAGAGGTGTGAAGGCAAGGCAGGAGAGCAGGAAATCAGCACTCGAGGAACTTCAGCAATGTGGCTGAAGTTGAGATGGTTGGGGCAGGGGTAAGGCTTGAAGGGCATAGTTCTGTCAGATTGTGAAGGCCTTGACACAGTGCTAGGGAATGTTCTGTATCTTCAGAGGAGGCTTCTGAGTAGTGAGACTACATAACAAAAAGGAGAAAACTAATCCATTATACAATGTTAGTTTATTTCACAACAATCCTATAAATGGGGCTTTAACACAATTTTAAACATAAAGAAATTAAAATTCTGAGAGGTAAGGAAAATTGCTCCTAGTTATTGTTAGTATGTGACAAAAATGAGATATAAAAACAGGTCAAACTCCACTGTCCCATTCTCTTTCTCTGTCAATATTCTGAAAAACTGCTTTAGTGTAAGGAGGAAGAGTGCAATGAATTGCATTTAATTCTTTCCACTACCTATGGGGGCAGACAAGTTGCCTTTGCCTAACATTACCTCCCTGCACTCTGCCTAACAAGCCTGCCACATTAGCCAGAATACTCGGAATGCCCCTAAAGACACACAGGGCTTTTCCTCTCTCCTCCCTCCTGCTCTACAGGGAAAGAATTCTCATCTGTCATTTAAAAATATATTTTTTTATTGCTATCAGAGAGGAAGGGAGAGGGAGAGAGAGATAGAAACATCAATGATGAGAATCATTGATCGGCTGCCTCTCACACACTCTCTATTGGGGATCAAGCCCAAAACCCAGGCATGTGCCCAGACTGGGAATCAAACCGTGACCTCCTGGTTCATAGGTCCAAACTCAACCACTGAGCCACGCCGGTTAGGCTCATCTGTCATTAAGTTACCCACACTGAAAGGTCTGGCTCAAGCCTTACCTCTTCTGAAATCTTCCATGATCACCACAACCAAGAGTGAACTGCCTCCCTTCCAACACCCAGAGGCCACAGTTTGGGTAACAAGATATAATCAATGTGAGAGGCCAAGCTCCACATACATGGACAAGCATGGGGAAGAATGACCTGGGCATAGGAGAGGGGAGAAACCATGACCAAGGAAAAGCATAAGTCCTCACTGTTGGGAGACTCTTTATTCAAAGAACTAGAGCTATAGTCAAAGTCCATTCTATTCTAAAGATTCAATAAGCAAAGGCACAAATGTCCGGCATGAAGAATGAACTTGGACAGTCTATCAACCTGATAGGCCTTGGAGAAGGCTGGAAAGAAAAGCAACAGAAATTAGTGAAGGTAGCCGAAACCAGTTTGGCTCAATGGATAGAGCGTCGGCTTGGGGACTGAAGGGTCCCGGATTCGATTCCGGTCGGGGGCATGTACCTTGGTTGCGGGCATATCCCCAATAGGGGGTGTGCAGGAGGCAGCTGATCGATGACTCTCTCTCATCGATGTTTCTAACTATCTCTCTCCCTCTCTGTACAAAATCAATAAAATATATTATAAAAAAAAGAAAAAAAGAAATTAGTGAAGGTGATCCATAGAAGGAGCATGACAGCCACATGTATCAAAGCTTATAAGGAGGGGGCCAGCTTAACAATCCTGACACAGATGCTGGACCACCAGGCAATGAAGGAATCAAGGTCCAGTCATCATAAAGATAAGTACCATCAGCTAAGCCCAGAGACACTGGGACTACTGGTTTTGTAGAAGCCTAGAAACTTTTCCCAGATGATATACCCTAATTTCTCAAGTAACATCATCACTTATTAAAAAAGACTGACAGTCCCAAAATCACACACACACACAAAAAAAAGCACCGTGTATTTTCCCAGCTTAGGAAGAGAAGTGTTAAGGTTCAACCGTGTCAACTTCCAAATTCTGTTTCCATTTCAGAATTAAAATAGTTGTAAACCAAGGAAGCATCACAAATAAAAGTGCTGTTTTGGAGTCAAGTCTTTAAGTTGTTCTTCAATGAATCTCTTATAACAAATGCATATAAACATCTGCTTCAATGCAGCCACTTTTCAAACTCAAATTCCTCAAGAATGAATTACTATCCTTCACTATTAGTTCACTATCAGTGAGTTGGTTGTTTTTTTTTTTTTTTTCCTTCTCTTAAAGAAAAAAAAAAAAAAAGAGCTGTTCCTTTTCTGTTCTTTGCCTTTTAAGGGAATTAATTGATATCAGTCAGTTCTGAAGCCTCAGAAAAGTACAATTTCATAGAAAGGAGTTAACTAACAGATTCCTAAAGGATCCACGACATAAGAAACATTTAAACACTTGACAGTCCCTTCAGGGCAACAGGGACGTGGTCAGTGGACAGGGATCATACTGAGAAGGATGATATCTTTCATAGTGATGACAGAAGCAGCACAATGTTTTTATATAAAACTTTTTTCTGATTATAAAATTAATACATATTTGTTACAAAAACTTTGGAAAACATAAGTGCTTCCAGGATTGCTGCTTTTAGTTTCTAAAAGGAGTAATGAGAGGACTAGAAGAACAATGGACAATTATTACTATTTTTTTAGGCCAATCTATCAACTCTGGCCCTATTCCAGGTTTTCTTAGACTACTAGTGAGGAAGGAAATGTGCTGAAGGGGCCATCCTGTCCTTCCTGAACACCTCTGGGACCAAGAAGTGGCAGATACCCCCACAGAGTACGAGTTTATGTAAGCTGTCTGCATGGGCCAGACACAATGGACAAGGGGCCAGCCTGGTCACTGGAAGAGAGGGACAGGATTTCCTTTTCCCCATCTAGCCAATCAGTGCTTGGATAATGGTTCAAGCACTGTGCATTGTTTAAGTACTGGAAAGAAATGCCTCCTAGGGCTCTCAGGACTAATTACATTCTTATCAGTTAATAAGATCAATGGCCTTGTGTAGGGGATGTGGGAATAGAATAGGGCAGACAAAACTCAACTCTCAGACTTTGGTTAGAATGTAAAAGTACCAGTGTGGGAAAAGAGACCAGTGATAGCTGAGGAGGAATTACATTTTCTCCCGGGGCTGTCTCAGCCACTTAAATGGTATCAACAATTTCTCTAGGATGATTCTGAAAGCAACATCTTTAAATTTTCAATGCCTAAAAATGATCCTACATGGAAGGTCCAATCACACTTCAAGCTAAGCATGTGCTCACACTGCAGTGCGCTATTGCTCTTTCTATGCCCTTCTCTTGTTACTTGTGTCCTCAGTACAGATGGTACTATAAAATAGTTAATCTACTACATTTAACCCTTTACCTCTCTAATCCAACCTTCACTAGTGTCCATAGTGATCTTTCTACAACACTGTTTTGATCATGGCAATTCTCCAGTCTCCACCAAACATCACTTACTTAGCACTTACAGTACTATGTGCCCAAAGTCCAAACCTTCTACCAGGCCACCATCTCTCACAGCTTCTCCCTATGAAACTCTACACATATCCTGCACCCTCAGCAGCACATGCTACTGACCATCCTCGCAAATACCATCATGCTTTCTTACCCTGTACCTTTGCTTATGCTGTTCCAAGGGCTAAAATAATCTTCTCTTTGTTCCTCATATTGAAGAAACTATATTCATAACTCGAGTGCCATTTACTCTGAAAAACCTTATCCTATCTAATAGAAAATATGCTAATTGATCACCACGCCCTCACAAAGATGGTGGCACCATAGCAATAAGGAGGGGATATGCTAATTGATTGTCATGCCCTCAAAGATGGCTGTGCTCACAGCCACAAGATGGCGGTGTCTAGTCCCCTCAGCCCGCCAGGGCGGCAGGCATGCGGCATGGCTGGGCCCGCCCCCAGGCAGGTCCAGCCACTCCATGCACCTGCCTCCAGAGTCCCCCAGTCCCCTCATCCCCCAGCTGCCCAGGGCCGGCCTGAGATGCAGGCAAGTCTTGGATGGTGACTGTGTAGCCACCCAGGGCCGCCCGAGGCTCAGGTAACCGGGGCTGGCCGAAGTTTGCACTGCCGGCAGAGACAGCAGCAGAGGTGTGATGGGAGTGTTGCCTACCCCTGATTTCAGGGTTGGCTTCCGCCCCTAAAGGCTTCTGGACTGTGAGAGGGGGCAGGCCGAATTGTGGGACCCCCCTAAACTCCAGTGCATGAATCTAGTTTTTTATAATCTTCCTTTGAGTATCCAAAATACTTCTCTCTGTGCCTCTATTATAGCACTTTATTTTGCCTCTTATAGTAATTCTTTTTTATCTCTCCTATACTATAATTTCTTAAGAGCAAGAATCAAGTATCATTTATTTTTGAAATTCTCATATCAATATTTCTCTAAATACAATCACTGATTGCCTTTATCAGAATCACTTAGGACTCTGCAGATTTCCAGTGCAGGAAATCTGCATCTTACCAAGCCTCCTGGGTTACTCTTGGGGCATATAATGTTTCAGAACCAGTCTTACTCAGAGCTTCCATACTGCTGGGTGTAGGTGCTTGACAAAGGTGCACATGGTTAGCAACACACCTGTTGGCATAGCAGACTAGCATTTGTTCTTTTCACAGAATCACAGTCAGAGCCAAAGGACTTCATAGTGGTGCAGCTGCTTCATTTCTCAAACAATTCAAGGATAGGAAAAGACAGGAAAGAGTAGAAAATACTCTTCAGGGGAACTTTAAAAATGAAAGACTCACAATGCTCAGACAAAGTAGAATACGGAGGAAAAGAATGTGTGATGGTATCCTTTTCTCGGCCCGAAGTGGTTAAAACAAAGCCCAGGAACTGGACTGCTTATTCAGCTGCCTCAACTACTAGGCTTAGTAACATATCTCCAATAATTTATTGAAGAGAGGGAGCTAGAGCAGTGTTTCCCAACCTTCTCTCATGATGAGAATCACCTGGTGGAGTTGTTAAAACACAGATTCCTGAATCACAGCTAAGAAGTGCTAAACTAGAATTTTTGGGAACATATAGGTAAAATTGTATACTTAACTAGTGCTCTAAGACAGATTTTATATACAGAGCACTAAGTTAGGTATGCAATTTTACCTATATGTTCTCAAAAATTCTAGTTTAGCACTTCTTAGCTGGGATTCAGGAATCTGTTTTAACAACTCCACCAGGTGATTCTCATCATGAGAGAAGGTTGGGAAACACTGAGCTAGAGAAGGAAAACAAGAAAGGTAAAATAATCAAAGAAGTTATGATTATGATCAGAAATAGGCATCTTAAGAAGAGATATAAGGAAAGAAGACAAAGATGATAATAATGTTGACATTGGTAACAACTACCACTTTTCTGGCAATTGGGATGTACCAGGGCCTTTCCTACACAATATCTCTCCAAATAATTTGCCAATAGGTATTCTAATCCCCAGATACAGACTACAGATGAGGAAACTGAGGTCTGCAAAGCTGACTTATTCAAGGACACTCAACTAGTTGGTGCCAGAACCAGAATAAAGGACCAAGTTTGGCTCTGCATCCTGTGCTCTAGCCACTAACCACAGCTGTTGTAAAATGTAAGCCTGCAAATGATTTTAAAATTTTAAATGGGTGCAAATATGGGAAAAATAGGGGGGAAGATACAAAAAAAAAAAAATCTAAAATGAAAAATCTGACAGATGAATAAAAAGAAAAGGGATAAAGAAGGAAGACATTTTAAGATTAGTATATTTTGTTTTAACCTACTATTTCTACATGTGATGTTATATGTCTGGGCACAAAATGAAAGCAATTGGAGTTAGGAATGATTTTCCAAAACGGTATTTCAATATTTATTATTGAATTGCCCTCACTGCCCATGGTATAATTACTACAAAAAGGTAATTTAAAATAATGTCACATTATTTTAAAAATGCATCAGTTTCCTCTAACTTTCACCTCAGAAACTAGACAACTCATTAATATAAATCACAGTACTGCAACAATATTTAAAACCAATGTTCTCTCACAGGAGGTTAATGGGAACAAGCTAATCAAATTACACAGTTTCCTTTTGAAGAACCTCTTGCCATATAAAACTATAAAATCTTTAGTGATAAAGTTTTACTGTATAATGAGGAAATTCTGAGAAAACAAGAGAAAAGCCAAAGCAGCATATAAAATTCTGGGCTATCTGCCAGATTCATTATCTGTTTTTTCCTCTCCCCATCCCCCTTCAAATTAGCAGTGATTTATCAAACAATACAAAAGACAAAAGAAAGGAGAAAAATAATATTTCAAAGATATTTTTCTCCAGTTTACATTTCCTCCTTTTCATTACCATATCCATCATCATTATTTAGGCACTTTCCCATTAAACAGAGATTCAAAAAAAACATCAAAAGACTGTCATTCAGATAACATCCAGCTTTGACTGCTCATTCCATAACTGGGTTCCCGAGGGAGTCAGGTGGCCCTGAATCGGCCCCTTCCCTGCATCACCCCAATGACCACAAACCAAAATGACCTGAGGTCTTTAGGAGTCTCGAGCCTTTGAATCTCTGGAGCTAAAGTTGTAATGAGGGTCCTGAAATCCCTGGTATTAGAAACACTCCTAAAGGTGCACTGTTTACTTACTAAACAATATGTTGCAAATATATCTGTAAAAAACTCAAAGAGCTTACACAATTCATTTCATTTAGAAAAAAGGAAACATCCTGACTCCAGCTGTCTAACTAGACCTGATAATATCCCCATAAATGCTGATTTTTTTTCTAATATATGTTTGCCCTCCATGGTAATGTGAAAGAGTGCAAGGATCAATTAGAAACCAGGCTATAGAACTTAGACTTCAACTAAAACTAAAGACATCTTCACCTTCCTGTACTTTTGGCCACTAAAACTCACTGGCACCTAATGACTTTTATAACCAGGAAGTCTTGCAGATTGCTCAGTTTGTTTTAGAACCAATGGACCAAATAAACCAACATTTTAAGAATTCAAGGAATACATTCTATAAATATACTCCTTTTTTCCCCCTACTGCTCTCTAGATAAAACCAATGCCTCTGTCTCACTGAACTCAGCATCCTTCAAACTTGTTATCTATTCCAAATCCCAATTTCCCGTTGAACTATGTAAAAAAAATTTTTTTCTTCTTCCATGCATGAGCTTTGCACTTCCCTAATCTCTTCCAAGATATCTGCTTTATGATGAAACCCAGGAGTCTCAAACTCTGAGTAGAACATTCACTGTGTGGTCTTAAAAGAGCCATATGCATGAATTCCTTTCAATACCCACTCCTAATTTGGATAAAACTTTCTTGGAACTATTTGACATACTGTTCTATAAAAATGATCCAAGAGATGACATATTGTAATGGTTCATAACTCATTTACTGAAACATGCTCAAGTATAAAGTTTGTACAAGAAAAAAAAAACTAAAAAAATACAACATCATTTTTTTAAGATTTGGGAATGACATTTAGGGTTATCCTAATAAAATACCAGCCTTTGCTGACATCTAGAGGTAAAAACTATGTAGTGAAATCAGAGTTATAAAAAACCCCAAATTAGCTTGTGGCATCCATGTGTAGAAACAATGGGAAACCTATAACTTTTGGGCAACTGGCCCTACCAATGACCACTATCCCAAGACACATTGCTTTCACCAACACATCAGTATAGCTTTTAAAAAACAAGCCCACCAATACTGTGTTCCATACTGATTAGTTTATCGAACAGATTCCAGTTCTGAATAACCTGTAGTGCTCCTTAAAAACTCACATGCCCATATCCCAGTCCTAAACAAACCAAGTCAATGGGTGCTGAGATATGGTCTGGGCATCTGTAGTGTTTTAACAGCCCCAGAGGTGATTCTGATAAGCATTTTGGAAGCACTGGGTCAGGAAGCTCTGACCTTTCACAGAGTTAAACCTCCCTCATCCAGGTAGGCCAAAGTTCCAGGTGAAAGGCATTGGTTTACATCTAAAGAAGGTTCAACTATGGCAGTATTTCTCAAAGTGTGGCAGGCTGAGCACCTGCATCAGATGAATCACTCTGAGAGTTTATTAAAATGTGGATTACTGGTTGTATCTGTAGACAAATACATTATAACTTCTAAGAGGAAGACCCAGGAATCTGCAATTTAAATAAAATCCCAACATAATAGAACCAATCTAAATCGACAAACTTAAATGACATAACAGAAACCTATCTTAGAAAAGCTATAATTAATGCTATGGTCACAAGATCAGCTGACTTGAATTAGCCCATCACTAATTTCAACTGCAGCTATTAGTCATGGTTTGAACAATATGGCTGATGTTCACAGAAATGTTCTGATCTCTGAAGTGTTTCCTCCTTTTTTATTCTTTAGTATAACTTAGTGTTGTCTTTTCTAAGTGTAAACTTAGTAGAGAAAATGTAGAGCATAAAAATCTATAACTCTACTAACCAGAGTTAATCACTGATGCCACTGGTGTATGTTCTCCAGCATTCTCTTCACACATACAAGTGAAAACATATAAAGTTTTTAATCCTGCTTTTCACATTTCTGAATAAATACTTTGTATATCTTCAAAAGCATCATTTTCTTAAAGACAGCATAATATTATTCATATGATTATGATGTAATTCACTTACTCCATCCTGATTGTTGAAGTCTTAAACTGTATCCATTTTTCATTGTTATAATGTTAAAAACAAGCCTTGTGAGCATTTCTGATTATTTCCTAGAAAAAAATTCCAAGCAAAAAAATGATTGAGTGGGTGAGTGTGAGTTTTAGGGATCTTGATACACAACTAACTACTCTCATAATTATCAAGAGGCCGCCCATCTCATCAAATCATTACTGGACACTGTGTTTAATTATTAAAAAAAAAAAAAAAAAAAAAAAAAAAAAAAAAAAAAAAAAGCTGTACCTATTTGAAAGATAAAAACATTGAATGCGCATTTCCACATTGAGGATTAGACCATGAGGTCAGGATGAAATGTAGGAATACCATTCATATAAGGAGGAGACTGAATCAGGATAGCAACATTTCATTTGCTATGCTGACTAAATATACCAATAGAAAGCATATTACCCATACAATTTATACTTTATTGAACGATTAGAGGCCCTGTCCACAAAATTCCTCTTGGATTGAAATTCCTCAGCCCAGCCTGTGCCCTCTTTGAGCCCTCAGGGGACGTCCAACTGATGGCTTCGGCAGTCGGATATCTTTAGTGCTGCCATGAAGACAGGAGAGGCTCCCACCACTGCTGCTGTGCTCGCCAGCCATGAGCCCAGCTTCTGGCTGAGTGGTACTCCACCCTTTGGGAGCACACTGACCACCAGGGGGCAGCTCCTGCATTGAGTGTCTGACCCCTGGTGGTCAGTGCTCATCATAGTGATCAGTCATTCTGCCATTTGGTCTATTTGCTTATTAGCCTTTTATTATATAGGATTCATATTTTAACAAAGTCTGTGTAGTGTTTATTTGAAAATCTAACTATGGTTGCTATAAAAGTTAGGTGGCATTTTAAATAGTGAATGCTTACATAAAGAGATAAAGGGCCGAGACCGGTTTGGCTCAATGGAAAGAGCGTTGGCTTGAGGACTGAAGGGTCCCGGGTTCGATTCCGGTCAAGGGCATGTACCTTGGTTGCGGGCATATCCCCAGAAGGGGGTATGCAAGAGGCAGCTGATCGATGACTCTCTCTCTCATCGATGTTTCTAACTCTCTATCTCTCTCCCTTCCTCTCTGTACAAAATCAATAAAATATATTTTAAAAAAATAGATAAAGGGATTTCACTGTACTTGATCAGTATAATAAATGTGAAAACAAAAAACATAAGAAAGGCTCCCATAAAAGCAGTATAAAAATCTATGATGAAAACTATAACGCATTTTTAAAAGATTTACATTTTTAAGCTCACAGGAAGGAAAGGATGATGCAAGCAAAGAAGGGGAAATAATAATAACAATCAATACTAGACTATAATGGGAAAATTACAGTTACCTTTTCCTATTTCTTTAACAATGTGTTCTCGTCTAAGAGTATTTTTCCTTAATACACAAAGTAAGTATATTTCTAAGTGAATATGAACTCAATCAAGATTTTACTCTTCACTTTCCACAACCCACTCTCCCAGTCCAGATAATTTAACTGTGAGTCCTCTCACCCCTCTAATAGGGTGAACAAATATTAATACAATTCTATCTCTACAATGGGTCTTCTCCCAACCCATGTCCTTATTAATCTCCCTCAGGACCTCCTCCCACCTATTTTACACACTATCTACAATTTTCTTATGTGGCCCCGTGTACATTCCCATTTTACCTCCCAAATATAACCTAATTTAGAGGCCTGGTGCATGAAATTTGTGCATGGGGGTGGGGGCGGGGTCCCCTCAGCCCACCCTGCATCCTTTTGCAATTTAGGACCCCTCGGGGGACGTCTGACTGCCAGTTTAGGAATCAGGCCTAAACAGGCAGTTGGACATCCCTCTTGCAATCCAGGAGTGCTGGCTCCTAACCACTCACCTGCCTGCCTGCCTCATCGCCCCTAACTGCTGGAATGCCTGCCTGATCTCCCTAACCGCCTCTACCTTAGCCCCCGCTACCGTGGCTTCATCCAGAAGGATGCCCTACCATTCCTGCTATTTAAAAACCCAAAAGTCTTCAGAGGCCCAAGTTAAGTCACGATACCTCCTTCTTGAAGCTTTTTTAGACCTCCTCAATTAAATTTAATGTTCTCTGGCAATCTCATGACCCTTTGAGAATAATATGGAACACTACTCCTGTTTATCTCCCACCATAGTACTGTGATTGCCAGAACACAAGAAAAGTAATCTTTTTAGTACTAGGTAGGCTGTTGAGAGCCTTGTGTGTAGCACATGCTCAACACATGTTGACTTGCTTTACTGAAGTCTCGTTTTTTGTTTTTTGTTTTTCTAAACCTGGCAATTTTTAATCTAATGTCCCCCCAGAACCCAGTGCTTTTAAAGAAGCCAAATCCTCCAAACTGACTCCATGTCCTATTATAAAAATGTCTGCTTCTCCACCAACTGTACCATTAACTACCTTTTGCTCTTCTGTTTAATTCAAGATCAAGGAGGTATGCAAACAGAGAATCCCATCACGGATCCCTAAACCAAAATCTACAGGCATCACTAAGCTTCCCCCGAAACCTCCCCCAGGGCCAATGGATAAGCCCATTCACCACACTGGCTATGGAAAGCTACACATCATAAGGACTGTCACCTCCAACACTTTCCTCCACATGGGAGGGAAAAGGTAAGCCATGCCAATGCACTGCCTGGATACATTAACCTACAGAAAGACCTGGGAAGCTGAAATTACCACTATGGAAGGCCAAAGAGGACAAGCCATCTCTCCAGGAAATGAAGCAGCAGCAAACTGACAGGTGGTTTATTCACAGGTTGCTGGACCTGGTAAATGAATGTCATACTGAAGGAGTAGCACAACTACAATTATTTTCACCTATATTTGTGTAAGTGCATATATGCACAATCACAAGCCCAGACATACCCCCCAAATCCTCCTCCTACCTTTAATCCAACCCCAAATTGGGACTATCTATCACTATCCTGGGATAGGACTGCATTCAATAGGATAATTCAAAAGTTTTCTGGTGAACCCAGAAGTAATCCTTCAATCCACAAAGTTTGATTAATTCATATTTTGCTAAGAAGTTGTGCTGGCGAGAATTCCTAATCTGTTTCAAGAATGTAATATTACTTCCATCAATTAAAATCATATTTAAGGTCTAAAACTATGATTTCTTTATGAGAAGAAAATTAAAAAGTGGTAGTTCTTACCATTTTTACAGGAGAAAAAACCAACAAAAATGAGTAATAGCTAAACACATCTATTGTGTGGCCTACCTGATAATCACTGGTACAGTAAGCACACTTGACTGCTGGTACTTAATCTTCTGTCCTATGTTTCTAGTAGGTTGTTCCCTCTATATATACCAGGCCAGGGACTCATATTGTAAAGCAATCACAGGCTTGTAAGAAAAATCATTTTAGATTGGTATTGCTGCTTACTATAAGCAATCAGGACAATGCAGAATCAAAGTTCACTAATATTGAGTTATTTTAGGGAGAGATGAATCATTGTCCTAGGTGTTAAAGAAACATAATTTATTATTTCATAGGATATTCTTTAGTCAATATCTCTTCCCTGAATCAATGATATAAAAAAAATCAGTTGATGCAACAAAAATTTGGCATCAGGAGACTCAAATTCCAACCCCGGTTTTTCACTCATTTGACACTGGGCTCATTCATTAGTTGAGGCGTTGAGTTTCTCATATGTAAAACAGGACAGTTGAACAATTAATTCTTCAGGTCTCTTCCAGCTGTGATAATCCAAGAGTATGTCTAACTACAAAATGTTGGATTAAACCAGTCATCTATAAGACAGAACTCAGTCTGCTGACAGGAAGCTAAAATAATTATTTTCATCACACTGAACACTCTTACTGAATCAAGAAAAAGATGTATCCATAACTCAGTGTGGACAGAGTAATACAATGATGTTTTAAGACAAGGCATTTTAGACATGAGAGACAGTTATATTTCATAAAGTTTCAGCCAGAAAAGAAGAAGAAGAAGAAGAAAGGAGGAGGAGGAGGAGGAGGAGGAGGAGGAGGAGGAGGAGGAGGAGGAGGAGGAGGAGGAGGAGGAGGAGAGTAGCAGCATGACCCAATGTTTTCTGGGTTCCTGCATGGAGAACTGGAGGCATGATGAAAGAAATCCTCATGGCTAAGGACACTGTTTCAGACAGCTGTCCTAAGATGGAACCAATGGAGCAGGAGCAAAGAAACTCATTCTCCACACTCGTCATTAAGGCAAGCCTGCTTCAATGCATTGATGCCACCAAGCATCCTATTTCCAGGAGGAGGAGGGCTGGATGCATAGGCAGGACCAAACTATCCACGTCAGAAAGAGGGATGAAGTGCAGCATCCCCAGAAGGCAAGTGGCAAAGGGAGAAGGTGGGGAGGCCAGGTGAATGAAAAGTCTGAAGTAAAAAGTCTAAAGTAAAGGAAAGCAGTAAGAGGAGAGTGGAAACAGTGGACTACAAACAAAGGTGATGAAGCTGTGACACCAAAAATAGTACAAGAGACAATTCAGAGAGAAGTGCAGAGACAATTCAGAGGGAAGTAACTGGTGAGTAGTGCTGTGTAGCACTGTGTCTGATATAATCAGGTAATGTTAAGTGATCAGAGGAAGAGTGAATTAAAGAAAGAAGGGCTATTCATTTCAGATATAGGTGAAAAAAGATGCTAAGATATGGCAAAGGTGTATGATAGAGTCAGGAAAAGAACTTATGCTGGGTAACATTCAACACTGATAATTATACTAATGGAAAGAAAAAACACTAGACCTCCTATAATGGAAACCAAATAGACTGAAAAGAAGCATAAAATAGGAAAAACAAGTACCAACAACAGTCCCAGCAAATCAGAATACTCTGGTATTAAAAGAGGAGAGCAAAATAAGTTTTATGTTGGAGATTCCAAAATTGTTTTCTCCTATGTTGGGAGACTCATGGCAAGCTGGCCTAAGTTCAAGAGCAAGAAAGAAAAGAGGGACAAGATATTGTATAAAGTACTAAAAACAAGGCAGGAAAATAGATATACTTCTCTAGCCATACTTCTCTGGCAATCAGCAGAAATCTGCTTTAAATGATATTACAGTTATAATCCTATTAAAAGTCTTTAAACTAACCAAGTCTATTTTAACAAAAGGATTACCAACCAAAACCATACTTATATTAAGTAATATGTAATACAATGAAAATGCATAAATATCCAAGAACTGGGAATATTATTTGGAGTTCAATAAATGGTGTTGGACCTATAACAAAACTAAAATAAAAAGAATCCCGTCTCCTGAGCATAGTCCTGTCCCATTTTCTGCCAAAATGCAGCCCCTCTGAAGAACAATGAAAATAAAAGCTGATGTAATAATTCTACAGTGACTTTATGTAGGAAGAAGATAAAAATCCAAATGAATGAAAATAAATCCAATATGTAACATAAATTTTAATAATCCGATACCTTTATCCTGGAATCTTTCCTTAGCCCTTCATTTGTTGAGCTTCAGTGGTTTCTAATCGCCTTGTAACTGTTTGAAATAAAGTACAGGCACACAAATGTGTTCTTTTACAAACTGAAGACAAGATTTTCCCAGAGCAAAAAGATTACGACTTCACATTTTTGCACACTTGCTTTACTGCGGTGGTCTGGAATTGAAACTGCAGTATCTCCAAGGTGTGCCTGAATCTGATTTTAGGAATGTGACTGCTCTAATACATGACTGATAATTAAGGACTGAGTAATGGAGTAATTAATGTAAAACATAAACTCTTCCTGGGTTATGTTTCAGTTTTCCTTTTTCTGGGGACGTGTGACATACAACTTGGAGTCTGACTCTAATCTGGGGCACAAATTCCACCCACTGTCTGTTCCTCATAAGAAAAAAATTTTGTGAGATGTGAAAATTACATGAAATTCAAATTTTGGTGTCTGTTGATAAAGTTCTATTGGGATACAGCCACACTTGTCTGTTAACATATTTACTGTCTGTGATTGTATTTTTTGCTACAATATAGGTAGTTGTAGCAGTAACAGCCTGGCTAGAAAAGCCTAAAATATATACTACCTAGTCTTTTATAAAAGAAGTTTGCCAATCTCTGTTCTAGTGTGAACTAGACTAACAAAGAACTCAGGAACAAAAGCTTAAGAAAAACTTAATCAACTAGTAATTACTAATAATTCAATTAGCAATCCTATGAAAGCTGATGAAAATGGGGAAACAATTTTTCAAGCTATTTGTGATATACAGTAAAATGTTTAATTCTATAATGCACTATAATGTTCAACAAAAAAACATCAGATAAGAGCACATCAAAGAATGTGAGCCACAAAATAATGTGTTACTTATTGCTGAATGGAAGTATTTTTAGGCCTTCCAAATTCCTGGTATTTTTCAAAAAAATTCAGACACTTAGCAAAATTACAGCAGAACTACTAATGTACTTGTGATGTGTAAATTGTACCTTTAAATATTCATAATTGTTGTCAAGAATTTGTTTTAATCACTTGCAAGGATCATGGAAATTGTATTATGATACCAAATTCAAGAGGTTTGCCACTTTGGGGTGCTCTCCATTCAAAAATGAGATGTGGTTGTCTGAAGACAGTTTTATTTACTTCCAGCAAGTCAAGAAGTCAGAGTATTCATATCCAAAGCTCTGCTTCCCCAAAGGGAGGCTTAGCTATTTACTTATATACACTACTAGAGGCCTGATGCACGAAATTCGTGCAAGAGTAGGCCTTCGCAGCTGTGGTGGTTGCCTCAATCCCTCCCTCACATCTGTGGCTGCAGCCCCAGCTTTGTCCGGAAGGTCATCTGGAAGGATGTCTGGACTGCCATTCAGTCGGTTTGCATATTATGCTTTTATTATTATAGATTTTGTCAATTTCATATGCTGATTTTTTTCTTTGCATTGGCTTATCAAATTGGGTTCTTGTCAAGCTTATCCTATTTACAGATGGTCTGCAAACACTGTGCTACATTTTAATGTTTAGCAAGAAGAACATTAAGTAAGAATGGCCCAGAACTTGAGACCCTTGTCCTACTTAATATATAAAACTAGCCCATGAGGTTACCTGTGGATCCATATGTTATAGTCAAGTTCAAAACAACGTAGCACTCCCTCTCTCTCCATTCTCCTTCATCTCGCCTTTTTAAGTTATCCTGTCGCCTGTTTTTTGCCCCTGAACTTATGTCTTAAAGGAATATTATTGAATTTTGATTGAACCGCATCAATGTGCAAATACCATAATGTAAGCAGATTATGCTCCCCCACCCCCAACTACATTACAATAGGGCCAAGTTTGAGAAATCAATAAATGATTTTGAAAATAACATGCCCTGAAGTTGATCCTCTGTTGTATGTTATCAAAATCTACTGTAAATATTCCAAGTCTGAGTTTACATGTAGAATCACTGCTCTACATCTACCATGCACGGCTGCCTATAGGCCTAATTTTCATGTGAAAAAAGAAAACAAACAAAACCCCTGGGTTATTCAGGTTTAAAGGAAAGATCCAAAGTGTTCCCCTACTTTGTCATTTTGAAAATGAATTCAGCATAGATAAAGCAACATGATTTGAGGAAGATACTATAAAACATATTAAATATTACCAAAAAATTTTACAATGTCCATTTCAGCAATCACAAGCAAAATGTACAATCACATTGATTCTAAATGACAAAAGCTGTCACCTGTAGCAATTACTGGCTCATTTATAATACAAAGCAAAAGTCTGTTGTACCTTTCAAAACATAATTTATAAAACCAAATCCAAATATGAATAAATCAGGAAATTCCTTGGCCTTTCTTTGTGAAATTGGGTAGTTGGTTAATTTACTGAGATAAGAAAGTCTGGAGAAGAGGCAGATTTGGGAATAATTCAGTAATTGGGTCTCATTTGCATTTGACATTCCTATGAAATAAGTAAAGACTTTACGAAGACAACCAGATATTTGAGCCTTGAGCTCTAAGATCAAGTTTGAGTTCCTGGTAGAGATGGTAGAGTAGGTTTGCAATGGTGCAACCTACTTATTTGTATCCAAGTAACCAATGTTCTT